CCCGCCCAGCCAGTGGCAGCAGTGAGGCCAGCATTGACTGAGCAGGAACTGGGTAGGGGGGCTTGGGGGAAGAGGCAGGATGGCTGTGGAGTCTCACAGGCATGGCACAAGAGCACAGTCCCGTGGTGGGGGCCAGGAGTGCAGCCGCGGGCCTCGGTGCATTGCTGCAGGACTGTGTTTCTGGCCCCTGACTGTGTGGCTCCATAGCCATCCTGCTTCTTCCCCTGAGCACACTCCCGCAGTCCTCACTCAGTCAGCACCATTGGGGGAAGAGGCAGGATGGCTGTGGAGTCTCACAGGCATGGCACAAGAGCACAGTCCCGTGGTGGGGGCCAGGAGTGCAGCCGCGGGCCTCGGTGCATTGCTGCAGGACTGTGTTTCTGGCCCCTGACTGTGTGGCTCCATAGCCATCCTGCTTCTTCCCCTGAGCACACTCCCGCAGTCCTCACTCAGTCAGCACCAGCCTCTTGTCTGCCACCTGAGCAGAGCCCCGCAGACAATAGCAGCAGAGGGGCTGGCATTGACTTCCCCTGCTCCAGCAAATTCCCCAGTTAGGAAGTGGTCATAAATGCATATTCTAATACCTTCATTGCTCCATCTCTGACACCCATTCCCATGCCACCATCTCTGTTCATTAATGTTTGTAAGCAGATTGAGCTCTTCAAATAGCAGGTGCAAAATATTAATTAGAATAAAAAACCAGGATCAAAATTGTCCTAAATTTAACAGTCTTGTGTGCAGTTCCCTTGGAAAAAATAATTAGAGAAACAACCAGCATGCACTTTTTATTGAGCTTTGCACAAAAAAGTATAGGCCCTGCCAGTGACATTCTCCTACTTAATCTCTCAGCATTCATGTCTGTTAAATAGGTATAACAACACTTATACACCTCACTGCATAGAGGTTTAATTAGGGCATGTATGTGGTGTGCCGACTAGATTAGAGGTGGGCAATAAGTGGTCAATGGGCTAGGGACAATTCTTCAGGGTTAGGCTCTGGTGGGTCCCTGACACTTTATTTACCTTACTGTTCCTGGACTAGATGAGGATGATGGTTCTTTCTGCCCTTAATATGAATGTATCTATGAATGACTTCATTATTATTACTTATTAGTATTGCTAATTACTACTTTGTGTGGTTCACAGTTTTACATAATGGTAACAATGGGCAATTTTTGTGTTACAGTGATGGCCGGATCAAATATATTTGGAACAAGGACAGTGTTACAATTAACATCCCATTGCCATTTGGTGGAAGATCGTCACATGACATAAGGCTGCCAAAGATTGTAAAAACACCTCAGTTGGTAATGGAATCAATTGGGATAAATGTGCCATCTCAGGAGTTCCAGCTTCCACTCTTTACTGTTCCAGAGTCCTATCACCTCCGTGTGCCTTTATTGGGCACTTTAGAGGTTTCCACAAATGTATACAGCAATTATTACAACTGGTCTGCATCTTATGCAGTGGCTAACACCACAAAGAATGTTTCCAGCTTGACAACTAGTTATCTGATGAAAGCTGATTCTGTTTTCGACCTCCTTTCATATAGCATACAAGGTAAGAATTTTTGTCAATAGTGTTGTACTTTTAAATCTACTGTTAAAATGTCTATACTTTTATATATAAAAAAAACCAAGGAGTCCTTTGGCACCTTAAAAACTAACAGATTTATCTAAGCTTAAGCTTTCATGGGTAAAAAACATTTAGCCAGATACATACAGTTTCCATGTATCTGATGAAGTGGTTCTTACACACTAAAGCTTATGCTGAAACAAAAATATTAGTCTTTAAGGTGCCAAAGGACTCCTTGTTGTTTTTGCAGATACAGAATAACATGGCTACCACATGCTACCACAATAGCATAATAAGGACGAAGGCAATGAAAGAGATGTGTCATGAACACTGTGATTTGGATGATTTGTTTAGCACATAAACTTGTTCATTTCTAATGTAAACAATGACTTATTTCATCTTGCAAACTGATACATTTTATCCCAGTAAGAGTTCATTTTAAGGCTGTTTTTTGAAAATTCAGTCCAAATATCAAAGTAATAACCAGTATTAAAGAAATATGCAGCATTTGCTTTACTAAAACAGTGTTTGCTTTTTGAACAAAATAATGATGTCATACATAGTATATTATTATGTCTTGGAAATGTCAGATGTTTATTACCCCTTATGGCTTTTGTCTTCTCCCTTCCCGATCTCCTATTCTAGGTTCTGGAGAAGCAATGTATGATAGGAATGCATTTGATTGCAAATATGAAAATTCCTTACATCACAGACTCTTAGATTCAAATTTTAAATTCATCAGGACAAACAAATATGAACCGACACTCGCTATCAAGCAGACCATTTTGCTTACGGCAACTAGCACTCTGGGCCCTCAGCTTTCCTTTTCTACCAATATGGATTTCAGACAGAAAAATAATTTGAATGTCAATGAAGTACAAATGCAAGGGGAGCTGAGAGTTGCTTCAGCCTTTGCTAAAGCAATTTATACTCTCTCAAGCAACAACAGCAAAAACAGCCACGAGTTAGCTGGGACATCCAACCTGATATTTGACTCGTCTTACCTTCACTGTACCAACGAGATAACTGGCAAAAGTACCAAAGATGCACTGTCACTCACTTCAGTCTCTAATGTTCAAAGAGGTCTCATAACAAACACAGCTTCACTGAAGTATGAAAAGAGACAGCTGACTGTGATGTCGGAAACAAATGGAAGATACCAAAACTTTGTAGGTCTCAACAAATTTGAATTGACTTTGGCAATGCAGAAGGCTGCAGTTCGCTCTGAAAACCAAGCAATTTACAAGGAAAACCGGTATTACACCCTCTTTGCAGGTTCCCTTAATTCTCAGGGTCTTGAACTAAATAGTGATATTACTGTGAATGGCCAAAGAAACCGAGCAACGCATAAGTCTACATTAAGGATTAACCAAGATGGTTTGGCCAGCAGTGCAACCACTAACCTGCACCTTAATCCGCTAATGTTAGAAGAAGAAATGAATGCTAGAATTGATGCTTCTGGAGGAACCTTGGCAGTTACTGCTAAGGGGCGCTATGGTAAAGACAATGCACAAATCAACATAGATGGAAGAATGGCCCTAAGGGAAATAGCACTGGGAAGTGTATATCAGAGCACAATTCTGGGTATGGATAGCAAAAACGTCTTAAACTTTAGAATTAATAAAGAAGGACTCAAGTTTTCAAATAACTTAATTGGCTCATACGAGGAAATGAAACTTGAGCATGTGAATGAGCTGAACATTCCTGGCTTATCCTTAACATTTTCCTCAAAATTAGACAATGCCATTAGCTCGGACAAGTTCCACAAGCATTATTTTGACCTACAGTTGCAGCCCTATTCACTCATAGCTAAGCTGAACAATGACTTAAAATATGGTGAAACTGATGTAACCAACAAAGCACAGTTACGACTGGAGCCACTGAAGCTGACAATGACTGGTAATGTGAGAGGCACCTACAGAACAGATGAAGTGAAACATGCATACACCATCACTTACGCTGACCTGGCTGCAAATTTTAAAACAGACACAACTGCAAAAATTCAAGGCACAGCTCTGAGCCACAACATTAACCTGGACGTTGCAGGGCTTGCTTCCTCAATTACTATCAATACAAACTATAATGCAAAATCACTGCACTTCACCAATGTAGTACGTTCTGCTATGGCCCCGTTTACTATCACTGCTGATGTGCACACTAATGGTGATGGGAGACTATTTGCTATGGGAGAACATACTGGACAACTGTACAGCAAATTCCTGTTTAAAGCAGAGCCCCTAGCTTTTACTTTCTCCCATGATTACAAAGGCTCTACCAGCCACAGCCTAACTACTGGAAAAAAATACACTACATTACTGGATAACAAAATCCATATGCTTTTCACTCCATCAGAACAGTCGAGTGCCTGGAAATTGAAGAGTCAAGTGAACAATAACGTATACACACAGGACCTCGGTGCTTACAATGATGCAGAAAAAACTGGTGTAGAACTTAGTGGACAAGCTTTAGCAGACTTCACTGTAATGGACTCACCAATTCAAATACCATTAATGTCTGAACCAATTAATTTAATTGATGTTTTAGGTCTGAGGGATGCAGTAGACCAGCCTCAAGAATTCAGCATCTCTGGTTCTGTGAAATATGATAAGAACAAGGATGAGCATGTTATCAACCTGCCATTCCTTGAATACTTGCCCATTTACTTTGAACAAATCAGGGGTGCCATTCTATCCACACTGCAGTCTATCCAAAAGCACTTTAAAAGCATAAAAATAGATCATTATGTGAGGAAGTATAGGGCAACTATAGAAAAATTCCCCCGGCAGGTTAATGACTACATGGACAAATTAGATTTCAAAAACAGGGTTAACAGCATGAAAGAGAAGTTGGTTGCTTTCACAAATGACTATAGAATAACAGCGGATGACCTCCAAAATGCACTGGAAAATGCCAAAATCAATTTTCAGGAAGCACTGTCACAGCTGCAGCTTTACCTGATACAAATTGAGCAACATGTCAGAGATAATTATAAACACTATGACATTAGAACAGTTATTGAAAAACTGATTGACCAAATAGTTGAAAAAATTAAAGTTCTAGATCAACAGTATAACATCAGTGCGACAATGATTACCACTATTCAAGACTTACAATACATTATTGCTCAGCATGATCCAAGCGAGAGCAGTGTCTCAGTCTGGATTCAAAATATGGAGGCTGAGTACAAAATCATAGCTCAGGTACGAGGAAAGCTAGAGCAGCTCAAGAATCAGATTCACAATATTGATGCCAATCATATTGCAGAAAAATTAAAACAGCAGGTGCAGGATGTTGACATTAAGGGTTTTTTAGAAAAAATCAGAAATTCATTACCTATGAAAAAAATGAATGAAATTATTGAAAGAATTAAAGATATCCTCCTAAATTTGATGGAGGACTATGAAGTTTCTGAGAAGATCAATGCTTTCCAAAGCAAAATGCATGACATGATCATGAAGTATGAGATTGACAAGCAGGCCCAGTTTCTAATGGACAGGATGATACAAATGTCTGACCAATATAAAGTGAAAGAAACTGTCCAAAAGCTCACCATCTCCCTGAAAAAAATTGATATAAGATCATTCTTTGATAAAATTGTTACTGTTATTGATGATGCTGTCAAGCAAGTGCAAGAATTTGATTATCAAAAATTGGTGGATGAAGTCAACAAGTTTCTTGACTTGGTTATAAAACAGCTAAAGTCTTTTGACTATAACCAGTTTGTAGATGAAACAAACAACAAAATCCGAGAAATTACCCACAAAATCAATGATGAGATTAGAACTCTGGAACTTCCACAGAAAGCAGAAGCATTAAAAGAGTACATGAAGGATATCAATGCTATGGTTTCAAAATTCGTGGAACAATTAAGAGACACCAAGCTCGCAACAGTAATTGATTGGTTCAGAGACCTCATAAGTTCAACAGTATTTGCTGATCTAAAAGTCAAGCTAAATGAATACCTGGAAGATCTACGAGACAGGATTTATGAAATGGACATTCCAAAAGAATGCCAGAGATATCTTCAGAAGGCAAGCCAATTCTACAATAGCATTGTAGGATATATTTCTGAGCAATGGAATATTGCATCTGAAAAGATTGCTCTTTTAGCTGAGCAGTATGATGTAAAAAACTGGGCTGAAAAAGTCAATGTGTTTGTTGAAACAGGTTTCATTGTTCCTGCAATTAGAACAGGCATAATCAATATACCTGCCTTTGAAGTCAGTCTCCGAGCTCTCCGAGAAGCGACATTTCAAACCCCAGATTTTGTAGTTCCATTAACTGACCTGCATATCCCCTCTTATCAGATACACATAAAGAAACTTAAAGACATACAAATTCCAGTCAGGTTTACTACTGCAGAATTTACTATTCTAAATATGTATAAGGTTCCCTCCTATACAATTGACCTGAATGAAATCAAACTAAAGATTGTGAAAATAATAGACCAAATGATGTCCAGTGAATTTCAGTTGCCAATACCTGACATGAATTTTGCAGAACTAAAGATGAAAGATATGCTTTTTTCTGACATTTCTTTCCCAGCAATTTATATACCTGAGCCACAAATACCTGAATTTTTGATTCCTAAACTAAATCTAAATGAGTTCCAGTTTCCTAACATTCAGATACCAGAGTACCACCTGCCACGCATTCCACACACAGTCACTGTACCTACATTCGGCAAACTGTCTGGTGCTTTCAGAATAGTCTCCCCATTCTTCACGCTGTCTACTCTTGCTGGCATTCATAACACTACCGTTTCTGTAAACAGCCCAGAATTTGTAGCCACCATTTCGGCTCAAGCAACATCCCGAGTAGATTTCCTTGCTTTCACTATGAATGCAGACGCACGCCTCTCAGCCCCGGAGATGCAGCAGCTGATACTTAAAGAAACCATGAAGGTTACCCATTCACTCGTTAAAGTTGATCACAACAGTGAAGTGATATTTTTAGGGACTTCTGTACAGGGGAAAGCTGAAACGACTACAAGTTTACGTACTACCAAGAATTTGATAGAAGTGCACAACAACTTACTCGTCAAGCTACAGAGGAAAATACTGATGCAGAGCAAGACCACATACTCTCACCGACTGAACATCCCACAAGCTGATCTCTCCAGCCAGGCGGATTTGATGAATGATATGACAACAGAATTAGAAGCAGGACACGTCTCATTTACTTCCAGTGGTAAAGGAAACTGGAAATGGGCTGCCCCAGATTTCTCTGATGAAGGCACCCATGACTCCCGTGCCACTTTTACAATTGAGGGGCCCATTATTGCATTTGTTGCTGAAAACAGGATAAACGATAAATACTTGAAAATCAACCAAAATGTGAATTATGAATGTGGTCTCCTAAATTATGCAACACTTCAGCTTCAGTCTGTAATTGAGTCACAACATGTGGGACATAGCAATTTAAGTGTACACGGCACGGGGCAGCTTGCAACAATGAAAGTAGAAATCAAAGGCAATCATATGGCTAAGCTCAATGGGCGAGTTTCTGGAACCATACGCAATAACGTAGCCCTTTTGGTGCAGCCCTTCGAAATTAGTGTATCAACAAACAATGATGGGAATGTGAAAGTTAGTTTTCCATTAAAGCTGACTGGCAAAATTGAATTTCTGAATAACTATGGCCTTGTGCTCAGTTCCTCTGTTCAGGAAGTTAATTGGCAAGCTAGTGGCAGGTTTAATCAGTACAAATATTCCCACAGAATGTCTGCGGGGAACACTGAAGACAAAATTGAAGCCCACGTGGGAATGAATGGGGAAGCCAACCTGGACTTCCTAAAGACTCCTCTGTCAATTCCTGAGCTTCACATCCCTTATGTTGGAATCAAAACTTCTCAGGTGATGAAAGAATATTCCCTGTGGGAACAGACAGGCCTGAAGGATTTATTGAAGACTACAAAGCAATCATTTGATTTAAATCTGAATGCCCAATATAAGAAGAACAAAGACATGTATGCACTCCCAATTCCCTTAAAAGCAGTGCAAGAAGGAATTAATCAGTACATAATCTTCTTCAATAAATATTTTGTGAAGGGAAGGGACAATGCATTGGATTTCCTCACCAGTTCATATAACCAAGCCAAGACAGAGTTTGACAAATATAAAGTAGAAACTTCACTCAACAAACTACCACGGACTTTCAAGATTCCTGGGTACACCATTCCCGTTGTAAACATTGAGGTCTCTCCCTTTACTGCAGAGCTGCCAGCATTTGGTTATGTGATCCCCAAAGAAATAAGCACAACAAGCTTCACCATCCCACTTATTGGGTTTTCAGTACCATCTTACACATTAGTCCTACCATCGCTGGAGATGCCAGTTCTTCATGTCCCCAGTGATCTGCGCACACTGAAACTTCCTAAGTTCACAGTGCACCCATCAACCCATATCTTGATTCCTGCTTTGGGAAACATTACCTATGACTTTTCATTTAAATCCAGCATGATTACCTTGAATACAAATATTGGACTTTTCAACCAGTCTGACATTATTGCTCGCTTCAGTTCCTCATCTTCTTCTGTCATTGATGCAGTGCAGTTCAATTTAGATGGTACCACAAGCCTGACAAGGAAAAGGGGCTTGAAACTGGCCACAGCATTATCCCTGAGTAATAATAAATTTGTGGAAGGAAAGCATGAAAGCACTGTTAGTCTAACAAAGAGGAACATAGAAGCCTCAGTGACAACAAATGCAAAGATCAACTTGCCAGTTTTTAAAATGAATTTCAATCAGGAACTTAAAGGAAACACTAAATCCAAGACTACTGTTTCCTCAGCAATTAATTTAAATTATGACTTTGATACTCTTAAATATGGAGCCAGTGCTAAAGGTGCAGTTGATCACAAACTTACTCTTGAAAGTCTTACATCTTCGATTTCTGTAGAGACATCAACAAAAGGCAGCATTAATGGAATGCTATACACCCAAAATCCATTTTCTGGAATGCTAATCCATGAGGCAAATACCTATTTGAACTCTAAGGGAGCTCGTTCTTCAGTCAAGCTGGAGGGTAACTCTAAAGCAGATGGAATCTGGAATGTGGACGTGGCAGAAAAACTTGCCGTTGAAGCATCTACGCAACGTGTTTATGCAATCTGGGAGCACAATGGGGAAAACTATGGACAATTTACCCCTCTTTTGAGAACTAAAGGGACTCAGAACTGCAGAGTAACCTTAGAGCTGGTTCCTTGGAGTATGTCAGCAGCTCTTCAGATACAAGCTACTCAACCAAATTCTTTCTTGGACATAGCTTCAGTTAATCAAGTAGTCTTATTGAACATCAACACTGAAAACCAGAAACTTGGTTGGAAGGGTGAAGGCCAGATTCAGTCATTATCTCTCAGTCATGATATGCAGTTATCAAATGAAAAAACAAAGGTGCAATTTGACATTTCTGGGTCTTTGGAAGGACATATTGATTTCCTCAAGAACTTTGTGTGTCCAGTGTATGAAAAGAGTTTATGGGATATCTTGAAACTGGATCTCACTACCAGTGCTGACAGGAAGCAATATTTAAATACTTCTGCCTCCATAGTTTGTACAAAAAGTGAAGATGGTTACTTTTTCCCTTTATATGTGAATAGACTGGCTGATGGCTTCACAATCACAATTCCTGAGATGCATCTAAAAGCTCCAAATCCAGTTCTTACAACTCCAGAATTCCAAGTTCCTTTCACAACCCTGCAAGTTCCATCATATACCATGGACTTGCGCAATATAAAAATTCCACACAAACTAAGCATAATGCCTTTTGACATCAATTTACCCTCTCTGCCACGAATGGGAATCCCCAAAGTAGATATAGGAGCCCAGTACATTACACTGGAAGAATATAAAATTCCATACTTTGAGGTGACAGTACCTCAGTACCAAATAACTCTATCTCAGTTCACTCTTCCAAAAAGCATTTCTCTTGGTAATATGCATGTGGATCTGAATCAAGTTGCTAATAAGATTGCAGACTTCGATTTGCCAACTGTTACAATTTCTGAGCAAAAAATAGAGATTCCACCTCTCAAAATGTCCTTGCCTGCTGGAATTTATTTCCCTGCATTCAGTGCTTTGACTGGATCTTTCAGAGTTGCTTCACCATTGTATAATGTTACCTGGAAAACCGACCTGAAAAACAACAAGGACTCTTTTACAAGTTCTATTGATTCAACATCCAGTTCAACTCTACAGTTCCTGGAATATGACCTGGAAGGTAAGATGAATTTTGGAATTTTATACTGAAAAATTTGGTTTTCAAATGTTAACATTTTTCCCAATAATTTTCCATTTCAAGTGCAGTTGCACTGTGAGAGAGAGACGTAAAAGAGGATCCTTTCCCCCTTGCTATGTTCATTTTAGTGACAAAATAACTTTATAACTTCTCATTCCACTTAGCCCCGTAGACTAGTACAGCTAAAAGAAAGAGATCTACAGGTTGGACCTCCCTCGTTTAGTACCCTCAGGACATGACCGGTCCCAGATGAGGGATTTTGCCAGAACAGGGGAGGTCATTTTGGACCCCTGCCACCAACCCCCCTGGCCTGGCCGCTGGACTCCCAGCTGGCCCCCTATCTCCTGCTGGCCTCTCCACCCTGCCAACACCACTTGGCAGCCATTGCTGCTGTGGCTCCGGTACTTGCCGGGCAGCCCTGAGCTCAGGCTTCAGGACTCACGGGGCAGCCGTGTGCACCGCCCTGGAGCTCTGGGACCCACAGGACAGATGTGCATCACAGTTCCCTGCCCCACCAAGCTACCACAGCTCCCAGCCCCACCAGGTAGCCACGCTCCAGGTCAGTCAATGACATTGGGGAGCCCTGCAGCCACATGCTGGGCAGCATGCTGTCAACTTGATGTAGGCAACCCACTGCAAGGGAACCTTGCCACTGGCCTTCCACTGGGACTCTCTGGTCCTACAATACCCTGCTGGATCATGGATGTTGTCAGACCGGAGAATGCTGATTAAGAGAGTTTCAACAATGGTTTCTGTTCCTTCTTGCACATCATCAGCCCATTTATTTTCAGTAAGGCTGTGTCTAGACTACATGGCTCCATTGACGGAGCCATGTAGATTAGGGTTGTAGGCAAAGGGAAATGAAGCGGCGATTTAAATAATCGCCGCTTCATTTACATTTACATGGCTGCCGCGCTGAGCCGACAAACAGCTGATCAGCTGTTTGTCGGCTCAGCGCGCTAGTCTGGACGCTCCCCTGCCGACATCAAAGCCCTTTGTCGGCAGCCCCGTTATTCCTCGTGGGATGAGGCTTGACTTGTGTGTGACTTGGAACATGGTGAGGCTTGACTTGTGTGTGACTCGGAACCACAATTCCATATCCAGCTGAACTACAGGATATAGGCTGAACCTCTGCAGTCCAAGTCTCTCTGGTCCAGTAACATCTGTGGTCCGGCATGATTTTAGTTAGCTGGACTGCCACTAATCATGGGTGTGGCCACGTTTTCTGCAGTTCCATAAAGTTTGTTTACACCCACCACTCTTGGCTGTCAGTGTTCTGGGCTGTTATTTAGCTCAAATTTTCATCTAAATGTTGTCTAAGGGTATGTCTACACTAGCCCCCTAGTTCGAACTAGGGAGGCTAATGTAGGCATTCGAAGTTGCAATGTTCTCGTCCAGTCGCCATTTTTAAATTCCACTAGTCCAAAGTAACTGCCCACGGCTACACGCGGCAGTGAAATGGCAATTCCATGCGGAGTAACAGTTAATTTGAACTAAGGACTTAGTTTGAATTGCCATTTCACTGTCGCGTGAAGCCAGGCTTCATTTGCAACTTCGAATGCCTACATTAGCCTCCCTAGTTCGAACTAGGGGGCTAGTGTAGACATACCCTAAAAGCCCAGTAAGCAGTAGACATGTGGGTAATACGGCTAGAAAATATTGACCTCCCATGGTCCGGCAACTTCTCTGGTTCAGCACCAATCAGGTCCTGAGGATGCTGGACTAGAGTGGTTCAACCTATACCATGTTATCTGTTTTCTGCAGAGATTCAGGAAAGTGACACAATGTGAAATCTCTTTTTTGCAGCTGTATCAAGCTACAGCAAGGAAGGTGACATGTCTTTGGCAAAGGCCACATGCAGCTTTTCACATCGTGACATGAGTGTGGACTACAAGATAGATCTGCCTATACAAGGAAAGAGGTAAAGATTTGTTCAGGTGGCAATGGTTTATCATAGACACAATGGCAAGTGACAGATTATGTCTTAGAAACTTAGCTCCTACAAAGCATCTCCCTGGGCTGCCCTTGCCATCCCATTCCCATTCGATAACTGGGACATTGAAAAATATACTTTCCCAATATGACTGTTCTGAACATCCTGCCACTCCACATAACTAGTGAAGTGTAACTGAAGTTTTCATATAATCAATTATTCTGATTTTCAAACAGCCTCTACTGAGGTTCTCTTTCTGTGAAAAGAAAGCCATTTACTTGCAATTATTTATACTCAGAATTGCAGTGACTAGGGTGTCCAACTACCTGATTTCATCTGCATATGAGGACAAACAGGGCATGTCTACGCTGGAGAGTCTGCTACTTCAAAATAATGGGTTTGTTATTTCTAAATAGAATCATAGAACTGGAAGGGACCTCAAGAGGTCATCGAATCCAGTTCCCTGCTCTGACCACAGGACCAAGCACTGTCTAGATCATCTTTGATAGGTTTTTGTCAAAGTTGCTCTTAACAGTCTCCAGTGATGGAGTTTCCACAGATTCCCTGGGGAATTTATTCCAGTGTTTAACCATCCTGAGAGTTAGGAAATTTTTCCTAATGTCCAATCTAAACTTCCCTTGCAATTTAAGCCCATTGCTTCTTGTCCTATCATCTGAGGCCAAGGAGAATAATTTTTCTCCCTCCTCCTTGTAACACCCTTTTAGATACTTGAAATAATAAAATCCTGCTTGTGAAGCCAAATAAACTTATTTCGAAATAGCTATTTCAGGAGTTATTATTTCAAAATAATTTATTTCAAAATAACCTGACAGTGTAGACATAGGCACAGTGACTGCAAACAATTGTAACAAGAACAGGGCACAATGTTTCTACTTATACTTATTTTGCCTCCAGTATACATGTGGAAAAAAGAGAGGCTAGTTAGTTCAATTCTGACTTTATAATGATCTATTCTGCAGTCCTAATTCAAGTCAAACTGACCAACTTCAGTATGGAGCTTTGCCTGAGATAACAGTATATAGTTCTTTGACCCTGAATTTGCATATGTGTTAAAGTCCCAAGATAAAATGCTGATAGTAAAACTCTTAATTTTCTTTTGCATGTTTGGCTTTGGTTATACTTTTATTAATCATGAGATACACCGTAAGAAAACCTACTGCAATATATATTTCTTTAGGAGCAGCACTGCCTCTTAGCTTTCATTTGTTACTTAAACACTGTTTGTTTTTATCAGAATCTTGGCTCACACTGCATCTCTAAACATCACCAGCCCAACCTTTACTGATGTTCAGCTGAGTTATTGGGGAGATAGCCACAGGATCTCCTCGTCAGTATCTTCACCTTCTGCTGGCACCCTGGGTTATCTTGTTGAGATGGACACAGATATCCTCCGAGGGAAAATTTACTACCAAACTCAGGTAGGCAAGTCTTGAAATGAAGCAAAAACGCAGTGTGGGGACTGGGTTTTTACCTTTTAAAATGATCGTACTGCTTAGGAAATGGGCTGGAGCGATAGTTTTGAAAACTGACCTCTGTTCAAGAAAAACTTAAACATAAACCCTGCAATGTGAGCATCCTTTACTCATTCTAACGTCACTAATATGAGTTAAGCCCAGACTGGAAATAATATTCTGTAAACACTTTCAAATGTCAGAGATTATTTCAAGTTCCCAATATATTCAGTCTTGGCAGAGTCTTCAGATCAAAAATATGCATCTATTAGGAATTGGAAACAGGGCAAACAAACTAATTTGAAATAAGTCACTTTACAGCTATGAGATGGCAGTAAAAGCTCTATTTTATGAACTAATTGAAGACTGAGGCATTTATTAACATTGAAAAGGTCATAGTTACAGTAGTATGATACAAAAGTTGCTCTTTGAAGCACGCACAGCTTTCTCTTTGTCCTTCAAATCACTGCAAATCAAATTCCAATGAAATGAAGGCATCAAAATGTGAAAGGATGTCGATTTCTTCACTGACATCTCTTTTGTTATGTGATCCTTTTTCTGTTGGGGAATATGGTTTGCATAGCTGGTCATTTGTATGGTGGGAGTTCATGAAAATTGAGGTCCTACTGCACTTGCAATTACTGTAAAAATGGCCCATTTTGGAACCAGCAACCTAGAAGTGATGGGAAATAATGAGATACTGAGAATAAGTTCTAGCTCCCTGTCAAGTGTCTTTTGTGGAATCAGGATTGTGAGGCACAAAGCTAAAAGCCACTCAATGGCAGCAAAAAATGCCAATTCTGAGAGTCTACAACAATAATTTCACAATTTCAGACTTAATAGTCTAAGACTGTGATATGTTAATTTAGGTAGCATATAAAACTCACAATTTAACTTGGGTAAAACTGAAAGCTGGCAAATATATTTACTTAGGGCCTGATTCAGCTACCTTTAATCAGACTGAGAAACATTTATAATAGTAGTCCTGATGATTTAAAGAATTGGAGGATCACATATTTGTAATGCTTTTGTATTAAGAAAGTGAATCTTATTCAATCATCATATAAAATAATTAAATAGAATCTTAGCAATAACATCACAGGATCTTAGTGAATGAACAGAACTAACACCTACGTCTTGCATCATTTTTGATGCAATTAACAGGCAATAAAAAGGAATTATAAAGATGTTATGAAAATAACAATTTCTGCCCTAATTTATTTTCAAATTCCACTATTGATAGATTTAAGGAGAGAATTTTATCCAATACAAATGTAAATATATGAACAAACACATGGCAGACAAAACTGAGTTTATATTCAAATTAATTTAATGCAAGATAAGAAAATTTCTATCGTAAATACTTTTATTTGTGATTTAGGATCATGGTTTTAGAATAGAGGTATCATGTAGCATTATTTTAATTTATTTGAATTGGAATCTATTTTTTCACTTATCCTATTTTGGTTTTTCAGTATACCCCTGAGAAAGAAACTGACATATTAAAAAGTGAGATATCATTCAAGAAACCTGACCTGATTCAGATCAAAACTAACTGGAACGATGCTGCTGCTACAGACATGTTGAATGGTCTAAAAGAAAAAATACCTAAAATGACTAAGGCACTTTACACCAGTATTAACAAGTACCACCATGAGCATACAGGGATGGAAATTAGTGATGCCACCCAAAAGCTGAAGAACATCATGCAAAATGAAGCTGAAAAAGCATATCGATTAACCACAAGAAAAATAGATGAGATCGATCTTCACCTTCGCAACACTGCCTTCCAGGCCACTGGGAAATACCAAGAGATGACAGTCAAAGCTAAACAGTTATATCAAGAAGCAGCAGATCAAGCAGTCCAAATTGACTACCAACAAATAAGGGCAAAGATTTTTGATGCTACAATGAATTTACTAAGGGAATACCAGAAGAGGATAAAGCACCTAATAGACTCAGCCATCGAATTCCTGAAGATCACAAAATTCCGGTTTCCTGGACTAGCTGAAAAGCACACTGGTGAAGAACTATATGTAATGGCTACCGAGGAGACAGCAAAAGCTACTGATGCATTGATTTCAAAAATACAAGAGTATTTTGATGCTTTGATTGCTTTTGTCAATGAGATAGAATTTAAAGTTCCTGCTTCTGACAGAATTCTTAAAGGTAGTGAAGTGCTTGATCAAATTAAAGAAATGCTAAAACGTTTGCAGAATAATGCCAGACAGATATTTGCTACTCTTCAGGAGGCTGACTTTGCAGAAAAGCTTAAGCAACTGAAACAATTAGTGCAGCAAGTTTTCCAAAAAGTAGAGGAAATTATTAGAAACTTGCAATCAAAAAACTTTGAAGAGATTAAAGACCAAGCACAACAGATGTACAATGATGCCATCAATTCAGACTATGCAGAAAAAATGAGCTTCCTGGCAGAGAATATTAAAACGTATCTTTCCCAGTTAAAAGATTTTAGCAAGCAGACATGTAATGAGATTTCAGAGAAACTACATCAGATTCTTCTATATGTGAAAGCACTGCGGGAGGAATATTTTGATCCAAGTTTAGTTGGGTGGTCAGTCAAATACTATGAAGTGGAAGACAAGGTGCTAGACTGGTTAAAGAATTTAATAGATGCCCTCATGGACTGGCATGCCAAGTACATTGGAGATACTGCTGACTTAGTTTCACGTCTGACAGATCAAATAAAGGAATTTGTGGAAAACCATGGACAGAGGTATTATGATCTGGTGACTGATGCAGATGGAAAAGGAAGACAGAAAGCCATTGAGCTCTCTTCTGCTGCTCAGGAAAAGATCCGATATTGGTCTGAAACTGCTAAAAAGAATTCTGCCGAATATAACAAACTAGTTAAAGTGAAAATTCAGGGTGCCCATAACCAACTCAGCCAAGCCTATGAAAGGCTAATTAGTGCAACGCAAAAGTTAATTGACCTGACTATAGAAAATTACTCTACATTCCTGCAGTACATCACAGAGCTTCTCCATCAACTTGAGAAAATGACAACTGATACTATAAGGCCATACATAGCTGTTCGTCAAGGAGAGCTTAGACTAGACATACCTATACCATTTGACTTGCTATCAATTTATCAAATGCCCCAATTAAGTGAGGAGGCATTCCAAAAAAAATTGGAAATAACACGCATGTTGATTCAGAAAGGCATTGACCAAGGCTCCAAGACATGGATAGAATTGCAAACATTTATTGACCAGCAGCTTGCTGTTGACCAACTGAATATTCAGCAGATTATGGAAAATATACAGAAGCGCATAAAAACCTGAATGGACATGTAGAAGAGCAAAAATCAAAAGTTTATACCACACTGTATTTAAAAGATGACAGCAATCCTCATACTGGAACTTCAAAAAGAGAGTCTCTGAGTTTGTACTTATAAATGAAACTAAATAATCTACAGCAGGTTATTTTAATGTGCTTCAAAGGCCAATAAATGAATTCTTTATTACATTCTTGTGTTATTCATTATAACCCATTTTACTTGGGTCATGAGCCTGATCCATTAGGAACAACAGAAGTCTTTACGTTGACTTCACTGTGTGTTGGGACCAAGTCAGTAGTGTACAGTTAATTTTGTAAATAGTCACAAAAGCTAGGGTTTCAAAACTAGGTCAGATTTATAAGCCTGTTAAAAAGAGTAACTTGAAAATGCAATTATTACAAAGTGCAGAAATTAACCCCAAAATATCCTTATAATTATCTGGGAGAAGAAAAAGAAGATGAATCCATGCATTGCAAACAAGCAAGAGAAGAAAATAAATAAATTTTAGGAATAAAATTGATAAGGAAAAACTCACATTTTAAGAAAAGTCAGATAGTTTTCTTCCACTAAATGACAAATATAAATAAAAAATCTTTATTAAAACAAGCAATAAACAATACATATATCTAGCAGTATTATTTAGAAAAATATACCATGGATTTTAAGAAAAAATATGATATTGTTCTGAGCTAATTTTTTGCCACAGATATTTAGGGATCATTCTGATTTTTCCATGCTGCAATGTTTTAGGATTTTTCATCAAATTCTGTGACTGTTTTAGTCTTCACAAGTTTTACAGCCAATATTGATCACCATAGGAGTCAAAGGAAGGATTTTTTTTTTATTACTTCCTATGGCCTTGGGGTCAGACTTTCATATGAAATAAATGCCAAAATATGAAATTTCAACTAAAACATTGGAGTCTTCACTCAAAAATATTTTCATTTCTAAAAGGAAAATGTGTGGACATAATTTTTTCAGGCTTATATACAGCTGTTAGAATACTATGTCGATACTCCTTGCACAAAGGGCTGGAAAGGCTGAAATACTGGGCTTTTTACTCCTTGTTGCCTCATTCAAAATAAACTCTTTAAAAATGTCACTAGAAATTTTGTGAGCATGTTTATTTTGGTGTAGTGGGTTTACCCTGGTTTTTTTTCTATATTTATGGATGGGAATGGGGTGCTTTCATATAAGGCTTTGTATTGCTCACCTTTCTCATGTGCCTCTACACCACCATGATCTGGGTGCTTTTGGAGGCAGGTTTCATTCCGTAGTGTAATTGTGGTTTAAGCCATTGTCAGAGGAATGCCACCATTAGAGGGAATCAGAAGGTCAAGACTAACCTAAAAAAGCAAAGTCAGCTAATCAATCGAGTGCATACATCTATCCAGAAAAAAAAAAACTCCAGTCATCTGAAAAAGTGGGCTGTGCCCACAAAAGCTCATTATACCATTTACATGTTTTGTTAGTCTATACAGTGCTACCAGGCTATTTGTTGTTTTTTAAATTTATCCTGTACAGACTAACTCAGCTACCGCCTGAAGCATCTATCTAGTTGTTAGGAGGGAAGATTGGCCCTTGAAACGTAAAACTACCACAGCTGTGTCCACAGATCCACTGTTCCCAGGGATCATGAGAAGTAATGCAACTAAAGAGTTGGCTTGTGAGCAGTAAATGGAGCTCTTGCTAACTAAGCCAGGATCCAGACACCACCATAATTCCCTCCCTTCTTGAGAATTGGGAAGAACACTGTAAAGATGCCCTTTGCATAACATCTACTGAGTGCTTGAGTGGAAGAAGACTGATTCAGTCTTCTGACCCAAGCACAAGAAGCCTTTCTAAATTCATTTGTAAGGTATATTAAGTCCGTGGGTCATTGGAACTTTATTTGAGCTCAAATACCTAGCGCATCACACTGCCCCCCAAAAAATGCATGATGCTAAACAGATTTGTAAAAACACATCCTTAACCTTGCTGCTTTCACAACAAAGACAAACAACAAGAAAAATACCATCAGTATCAGGTGTAGGGGCTGGGGGTGGGTGGAAGAGATTTAAACATTTGATCTTTTCCTTTTCATTTTCTTTCCTCTTTCTTCATTATGCCTATTTATTTCTGTATCTTGGGAAGAATAACTGTTCTATAGAAGGCCTAATATGGCAGGGATGGGTAAACTGAATAATACATTTGCCAACTAGCATAAATACTGGCTGTATTTGGAAAGTTTCCTAAGAGCAAACACAATACACATCAAATGTACTGAGAAGTTAGAGGGTGATTTCCAGCTCTCATAACAGCACTGCTGACAATTTATTAAAATTCTCAATTATGTAATCTCTGTGGTAGCCATTTTGCAATCATTCTATGGTTGACTAAAGGAGTTTATCACTACAATAATAAATATTGTCAGATTTCCACATCAGAAAGAAAACACTTGAAACATTTTTATAAAATCTCCATACACAAAGGCTGTGTCTACATTGGCATCCCTTTCCAGAAAAGGGATGCTAATGAGACACTTCGGAATTGCAAATCCGCGGGATATTTAAATCCCCCGCGGCATTTGCATTTACATGGCTGCCGCTTTTTTCCGGCTCGGGGTTTTTGCCGGAGAAAAGCGCCAGTGTAGACGCGATTTTCTGGAAAATAAGCCCTTGAAAGTAGGAATAAGGGATTTTCCGGAAAAGGGCTTATTTTCCGGAAAATCGTGTCTACACTGGTGCTTTTCTCCGGCAAAAACCCCAAGCTGGAAAAAAGCGGCAGCCATGTAAATGCAAATGCCGCGGGGGATATTTAAATCCCCCGCGGATTTGTAATTCCGAAGTGTCTCATTAGCATCCCCTTTCCGGAAAGGGATGCCAATGTAGACACAGCCTTTGTGTATGTATATAAAAATTCACCAATTTTTCCATACAACATGTTACCAACTGAAGATAAATTTAAATTCTCTGGCTTGTTTTTCATTCACTTGTTTTTTAGATTGTGACAGATTTTACTCTTAATTTTGGACTAAGTCCCAGTTATTAAAATTATAGTACTATTTGCTCCATTTATGAAATTTAGCAACATAAACTGTTGAAATATTAGTAGTCCCATCCTGTCCTCTTTTTGAGTCTAGCTTGAATTCTGAGAAATTAGATATTTCATTAAATAGAATTGGGTGGGAGATACATATAAGGAATGAACAGCTATCTCGGACTCAATTACGTTGTTTCTTTTTGCCTATAGTTTTTATCATCTCAATTCTCATAAATGCTGAAGGGGCTTTGCTTTATAATTCACAACAAGTATTGGACATAGAGCAGAGTTGGTTGTAAAAGTTTAATTAAATAAAATATTTTAAGAAGAATTTCAGAGAACAATATGCCCCACTCTCAAACAAGTCATCGTAGAATCAGGGCCGTAACAAGGGTGAGGGGAGTGAGGCACTTGCCTCAGATGCACAGCTGAGGGGGCACAGTCTTGCAGCTGTGTGCCACATCCGGGGTTTCAGGAAGTGCATGGGCTGCACTTCCCCTCCCCAAACATCCAGCACACTGCTTGAAAAGCTGGGTCTGTGGCATGCCGGCTATTTCCTTCCCCCTGCATGGGTGAGGGGGAGTGGGAGTGGAAGTCCCAGGACTGCCAGCTCCAACTGCTCAGGAAGCACGCAGCTGTCATGGGGAGAGAGGAGTAGGGCATGCACTGATTTAGCAGTTGGAGCTGGTGCAGTCCCAGGACTCCCATTCCCCTCTCCCCAGGCAGACAACAGGGGAAGGAAGTCGCTGGCACGCCACAGACTTGGCTGTTCAGGAAACACACCGGCTATTTGAGGGAGGGGGAAGCAGCGCACATGCTTCCTGAGACCCCAGACCTGGCACGCAGGTACTGGCCCCACCTGTCCCTGTTCCCTCCCTCTGGATAGACCGCCCCCCCCATGAGTATCCTGCCCCAGCCAGCACCCTGTCCCCTGCCCCAACCAGCACCCTGCCACCTATCCAGCACCGACCAGCACCCTGTCCTCTGCCCCAGGACCCACCAGCACCTGCCACCTGCCCCAGCACCCACCAGCACCTTGCCCCAGCACCCTGCCCCAGCACACTATCCAGAGCCCCAGCACCACCATCACCCTGCCACAGCACCTGTCCCCTGCCCCCACCAGCACAGTTGGGACAAGATTAGTGAGGCTTGGGGGGATTTGGAGGGGTTGTTTTTTTGCATTTCACTTGTGTGGTCTCAACTCATTTTTCTGTGCATCAGTGACCCCTGATTCAAAACAGGTTCCCCGCCCCCTCATATTTTTGGCATAATATTTTATTTAAAAATGAAGCCTGGCCAAAAAGCCCCCAATTGGGGCCAAGCCCCCATCTGGCCGCAGCATCATAACACTCCTGCACACACACCCCAGACCCCAAATCTGAGCCTATCATACACTGGAACCCCCTGTCCTGAGCCTCTCGCATCCCCAAACTCCTGCACCCCCACATCCTCAGTCTTCTGCCAGAACACTCCTGCACCATCCACACACTGCAAATCTGTGTCCAGAGCCCATCATACTCCCTGCCCTGAGCCCCTCACATACCCAACCTAAACTCCTGCACCCTCACATCCACAATCCTGTGGCTTGCTCAGCACCCCAAACTTCCACCTGAGCCCAACACTTCTCAGCCTGGAGCCTCCTCCCCGAGCCAGCATCCCCTTCTCCACCTCTTCCTGCATCCAAATTACCTCCCAGAGCTTGCACCTCTCACCGCTTCCCACACCCAAATCCCTCATTCCCACCCCAGAGCTCGCACCTCCTGTCTCAACCTAGTGAGAGTATATAAAGGGCTGGGGGTAGCAAGTGATGGAGAGGAGGGGAACAAAGCGGATGGGGCCTCAAGGAAGGGGTGGGATACATCTTGGCTTGTCCTGACATTTAAAAAGTGATCGTGGGTGTAAAAAGGTTGGAAATCACTGTACTAAGCTATCTTTACCCGTGCCTCGTGCCACATCAGCACCCATGCCCGCACCGAGGATGGTCAACATCGACCCTGCTTAGGGGCGCTGTTGTCCAATTTCTAAAAAGATGTTTCCTTTATGAGGTCCATGGTAAAGTCAATGTGGCGATCCCTTAAACATATGTTTCCAATTTTCAAGGTAATTTTAACCAGGAATGTGAGCCATTTAAAGGCTATTGTATTTACATTTAAGAATTGAAGCAGGATTTTTTTTCGGGCGATTCTTTTGTTAAAATGGATACTGCTAATCTTCCAAAAGCAGCAGTAGATTTAAGTTTTAAATATGACAGCAATTTGAATGCCTCGGAAATTTTGTCAAAGATTCAGAGTTTTAAACATCAGGCATTAGCGCTATTGCCAAACGTTTCATCTGCGACTAGTTTCGACACACTACAGTTAATTCATGAATATAATCTGGCCAAATCTTATCCAAATTTGGAAATCGTCCTGCTAATATTTCTCTGCTTGCCAGTGACTGTGGCTTCTTGAAAAAGAAGTTTTAGTAAACTAAAATTAATTATTGTTATTTATGTATTTTCCCTTTTTCTATGAAATAACTACTATAAACATGAGGGGGTGCAATTTTATAATCTTGCCTCAGACACAAAACTAGCTAGTTATGGCACTGCATAGAAATAACAGTGACAGGAAATGTGTGTGTTCCTAAATGAAATATTGCTGCTAGAAGCAGCACAGCAAAAGTATGCCAGAACTTTAGGCTGCTCAGTATTTACCTAAAACAGCTGTATAGATCAGTAGCTGATAGAATATATTACCATTGTCTAGCAAACAGCAATTTGTTTGGCATCAATCAATGATCAATAACTTACACAGTTTAAATTGAGAGAGAAGGTGGGTGAGGTAATATTTTTATTAAGCTACAAACGAGTATAATAAAGGTTAAAGATGAGATATTTAATTGCTCAGTAAAGGGTATGTCTAAAGGCAAAGGGAATGCCTTTGCTGACCGCTTCTGTAAACCCCGTTTCACGAGGCATAAGGGAGCGGTCGACAAAGGTGTTCCCTGTCGACCGATCCGTGTCTTGACTGCTGCACTGTGCCGATGATCAGCTGAGCCAGCACAGCACGGCAGCCATTTTTATTTTAATGAAGCTGGGGATATTTAA